CCCTGTCTTTGTTCTATAAAATAAGTGTTTGCATTTTCCCCTTGATTTTTCTTTGCAAAGCCTTGAGATAGAGAAGCTTCTTTGAGGAGGCAATCATTATGAGCACCACCCACTTGGGGAGTGGAAACCAGAGTTTACATTTTATGCAAGGGACTCTCTGCCCTGCTGGGTGTGCTCTGCTGAAGGGGATGTCACAGGTCCAGAACTGCATTAAGTGACAATGGAAATGAAAGTGGGTCTCAGTTACTATGTCAGGAAAGCCAAGGTCCAGACTTCCAATTCTAGGCTGAGCTCTATTTCAGGATATGAGTAGATATGTCTGGCATGTCAATATCTCAAAGAGGGTGAGGTGATAAGGATATTTGTATCACCTACCTTGGCTTTGGTGAGTGAGCTGATGCAGCTGCTTTGAGCACTCCTCAACCCCACAATTGCTAATCTTACTCCATTACCTGGAACACGGGCTTCTAAATTTGGTCCTCTGCATCTCATCTAAGTTAGATGCTTAAAGTAACTTGAAGCAGACATCATGAGACTGTTCCTCAATGACCAGCTCTAGCCAGGCTCTCCTAACTGGAATTATGAACCAGAAGTTCAAACTGGAATTCTCTGGTTCCTAATAGCCAGGATGCCCTCCCAGATGGTGGTTTCCAGCCATGTCTACCTCTGACAACTTCAGTGAGAGTGGAAGAGCACATGCTATGTCAGATTACTTTTTTCACCAAACATCCATGACATCAGGGAACCAACTATCCACCAGTCAGACAGAACTTAGAAGGGAAGGAAGTATAAACTCTGGTCCTGGCTTAGAATTTATACTTATAGACACATTTGATTGGGGAAAGGGAGAAGGTTCTTGCCATAACAAAGCTACGGTTAAAGTGGTTATGTTTTGTATGGCAATCTTGAAAGAAAGGAGACACCATTGAAATCAGGAGGGGAATCTCTGCTGAGTTGATGCTCTATACAACCTGCGGTTGTCTCATGCGTGTTGAAAGATTTTGTTACCCTAGGAGAGGCTCTCACAGAGTATACCATCTATGCCTGCCTTCCTGGGGCACTGAACAAACTCTTAGAAAGCTTTTCTAAAACTAAATCAAAATTGAAAACTAAATCAAAATTATCTTCAATGGTATGTTCAGAACACGGCTAAGGTAGTCACTCCTCATATCAGTGTGAAACTTGCATATGCCATCAGCAACACTGATGCAGATGAAGTTTGTCTCTCCACTGTCTTGAACATCATATAATCACTTATTCTTCTGCTTAGCATTTACACCAACTTTGCTCTTGTGCAAAAGATTGTGCACAAGGCAAGTCATCAGAGAAATGGACTCTTGAGAAACAAACCCTTGTGTGGCAGAGACTCACAGGACAAGAATAGAAGAATTACTTAAATGTCTGTAGTCCTTGCAGTCCTCTCTCACTTGGCCCTGGAGAAAATTCAGAGGTGTTGTCGTATAGTTATTGAAGTTATGGGAAAATTTTGACAGTGACATCAGGGAAGCTCAAAAATAGGTACTATGCAGTACACTCCTGTGATGAAAACAGAGCAATATACCAGTAAATTAGGCTAGGTCCTGCTTTCACTAATAGGAATATTACATTTTGCTTCAGTGGGAGATTTGCTACTGTAATTTCATATAGGTGGGAAGGTACCTTGATGTAGAAAGCTAAGCTTTAGACTACAGCTTGCTTTTAAATATTGCCGTTGCTCAGTGCCTTGTTGATAGACCAGCTGGTGCATGCATGTTGGGACAGCCTGTGGAAACACGGATGCACACTGGACTGAGCATGACAGCAGAATGCATACATCCCTAGAGAGCATTCTGGTCCTGGTGCTCTAAAGTCATATCAAAAGCACAACTCTGCAAAAATAGGCAGGAGTCTCCTTACTTTCCAGCCTCCACTTCGGAGACTGTTATTAAGGACCTAGGTTGTAAGATCAGAGCAACTCTAAGGAGAATGCTGCTGCCTGCTAATACTTAGAACCATCTTGCTGAGAAAAAGATCAAGCTACCAAATGAACCCAGAATTAGGAAAGGCAGAACTTTGCTCAATTATTCTAATTTAAATTATTAACCTAATGTTTTGGGAAAATTGGAGTTAAGAATAAGGCAGCCTAGTTTTATTTGCTTCCCAGCTGCATCATTTTCTTGCACATTTCTTTTGGAACATAGCACGTTCCTGGAAAAGTCTGTGCCAGGTAGCTTAGTAATTTTCATTCTCAGCTATGGCCCTTTGTGTTTCACTGATTTTTACTTCCATTCCCTTGCTACACCTGAAAATTGAGCTTCTGCACTGAGCTCCCTGGAAGAACCGTATCTCCTATTCAGCTGTGCATACTATAATCTTAGGCAAGTCATTGGCTCCCTCTGGCCCAGTGTCATGACTTGTGTAGAGCTGATACCTTCTCTTTGGGTTGCAATATACAGAAGAGGAACTGCATGTGCTCAGGGGTCTTTGCACTAACAACTACCTTGTTTTGGAAAACCTGGTCAGGATGGAGGGAGCAAATTTCTAGGGTGTTGACCTTTTTCTTGTTCCTCTCTTACTTTTCCGAATCCATCCTTTCATTGTGATTACCCCAAAGTGCTTTGCCCTGATATTGGCCACTTACTGAAAATTTGAATATCAAAATTTCACAGAAAACTTCTTACATAACTACCAGAAGGATAAAGCCAAATGATAAACAACCCTGCATGTAGAGATAACACTGGCATTTAAAGTGATACATGAAGAAAAGTGAGAGAGAGAGAGAAAGAGAGAGAAAGAAGAAAGGAAGAAGTGTATTGCTCAGATTGGTTACCTTAAGAATAATTTCTAAGGTAAAGATACTAGTGAAGACATAGTCTGCATTGCCTAGGATCTGAAAAATAAGCACAATTGGGTTAGTGGTACTGAGCGTGACCCAGGAACAAACAGGCGTGTGTGTTAGCAACAGAGAGTGGCAGAAAACTAGTAAGCTCGTGATCAAGTAATGGTAGAGAAGATGGGCACTTTACCTTCAGAGCAATTTCAATGGTGAAAATGACAGTAAAAACTATATCAAAATAAAAGAGAATCTGTAAAAACAAAAGGGAATAGGAGTGGGGAGGGTATATCAGTGACCGACCATTGGAATGGGAAATCACAATTCAAAATCAAATACACAAACCTCTTAACAAGGGGACAAAGA